AGAGAGACCAATTACAAGGCTATAGCATTAGTCCAGGTGAAAGATGATAAGGGTTTGAACTGTTAGTTTGGTATCTGTATAAGTGGAAAGACAGAGGAATATCCTAGAGATGTTATTAAAAAAGATAGTAGATATGACAAATGATTGGTTATGGCGGGGGGGGTGAGTGAGAGCGAGGTGTGGAGAATGCTACTGAGGTTGCAAAATGAATGACTAGGAGGATGGTGGCATCTTCACCAGTATAAGGAAATTCAGAAGAGGGGAGAATTTGGGGAGAAAAGATGAAGAGTTTTGTTTTAAATATGGGATTTGAGATGCCTATATGACATCCATTTTGAAGTGTCTAATATATAGCTGGAGATGTAAGATGGAACTTAGGAGAACAACCAGGAATGGATAAACACATCTGGGAAGCATCTGCATAGATATGATCATTGAATCCATGGAAGCTGATGAGATCACCACATGAGACAGTGTAGAAGAAAAAGAGAAGAAGGTCCAAGACAAAGCCCTGGGAGACACCCAGGGGAACTGTGAGTGACTTGACTTTGCTCCCTTCAGGCTTACTAGGTTCTTTAAGGGACACTCTCTATAGAGTTAGTCTGGGGTCCCTTCCACATTTGAGAGAACTGTGTCCTGTTAGATGGGCAATGAATCCCAAGCACAGGACTTTTATTTTTTTTTTATTTTTGAGTTTTGAGCCTGCTTTTCTCTACCCTACCTCTATCCCCTTAATTCATATAACTTTGGGAATCTGCAAACCCTTGATGTTGCTTATAAAGATCAGTCTGAAGCTTGTTTTCACCTGCTTCACCCTTTATTTTGACATCACCAGTAGGTCAAAGGCTCAGGCAGTGCCATACTCAGTTGGCAGCTGGAGCAGGAGGGTAGGTGTTAGTTTGAAATACTGGAGCATTTGCCAATGAGTGTCAGGCTGTGATGTTACAATGTCCCTCAGCCTGTGCATTGCAAAGGATGAAAGGTGGGCACCTCGTAAGTGACTTGGTCGAATATCCAGCAAAAGAAACTGAAAAAGATCAGTCAAACAGATCGAAGAGAGCAGTGTCATAAAACACAGAGAGGACAGGGTATTTAAAAGAAAGAGGTGATTAAAACGTCAGATCCTGCAGAGAAGTCAAGAAAGATGAAGGCTGAAGAAAGGTCATTAGATGTGTTCATGAAGAGAACACAGGTAACTCTAGAGAGCAACTTTCTTTGAATGATGAGTTTGAGGGCTACATTGAACAAGGTTTGGAAGAAGTGGAAGCATCAAGTATAGATGGCTTTTTCAAGGAGTTTATCTGAGAAGGTGCGCAGAGATATGGAGTGATATCTAGTGAGCATGGTAGAATCAAATGAAGGATTTTTAGACATAGTGGAGACATGAGTATGTTTGTAGCATCGGGAAGGTACCAGTAGATCGGAAAAGATTGAAGGAGAAAGAGAGAGAGACAGAGAGAGAGAGGGGGGAGGGAGGGAGGAAGAAAGGGAAAGGTTGGGTATGATAATGGGGGCAGTTTGCTAAAGATAATTGAAAGGTAACATCAAAGATGTATGTAGAGGGGTTAGCTTTGGCAAGGAGAAATGCAATCTCTTCATCAGAGACTGAGGTGAAGGTGGAGATAGTGGGACATGATGTCAGAAGGATGTGAGATGAAGTGGAGAGTAGAAGAGGGATTTCTAATCAAGACAATTCATTTTTTTCTGTAAGGTATCAGGTTAGATACTAGGCTGAGAGGTTGTGGGAAGCTTAAGAACTGACAGGAAAGTTTGTAATAGCAATTGTGATCATTGGGATTGATAAACAATTAAAGAAGAATGGAATATTGCCTTGCTGCAGTAAGGGCCCAGTTAAGGTAGATCCAATATATTCAAGAGATCAGTGTTTAATAGACTTGAATAAATTATTAGAGAAGAAAAACATTATTCAATAAGTATTGGGGAAATTGTTACATAGTGAAAGGTTAGTAGCAATCTATACCTCACACTCTATACCACAATAAATTCCAATTGGATTAATGATGTAAAAATTTGAAAAAACACAAAATTAAAAGATTAAAAAAGTATTTGTTTCAGTTATGCAAGAGAGAAAAATTTCCATTTATCAAATAATGGGAGAAATTATTGGAGCCAAAATTTATTGATCTAATTAGAAAGAAGAGTATTCACAATAAAAAGCAGCATACGAAAAATAAAAACCAAAGAAACATCCTAGGGAAAAATGTTTGTTGTGAATCTGATAAAAATATGGCAACCTTCTATAAGGACCTTCTATAAGTATATAAGAGAACTATCTATCCTCCAATGGACAAATATTCATGAGCATGCACTTTGCTAAAGAAGATATACCAATTGTTAAAAATCATTAGAAAGCTGACTAAAAGAGTTCAGAGAAACATGGGAGAACTTGTATCAAGAGACAAAGTGAAGAAAGCAGAACCAAGAGAAAAACATATACATTTTCTGTAACGATAGAAAGACGATGATAGAAGACAACAAAACGCAGGTCAAATATAACAATGTTGGTGCCACACTTAAAGAGTCAGAATGTCCATTTTCATTTCTGCTGATTGGTAAATCATAAAGGCAAAAACTGACATACTAATAATTGCATTCCTACTCTCAGGTGGTTTGATTTAACTGTTTGTGAGGCTTGCACTTTGTGTGTTGATGAGGTTGTCTGGGTTTTGGTAAAAAAATATTTGTTACATTAAAACAAAATGCATCCTCTCAAATAAAGTCAACATATTTTAAAAAGAAAACTTATTCTAACTCTATGATAATGAAAAATGAAAACCAAAACGTTGATACCGTTGTCTACACGTCAAATTGTTATATTGACAAAGCATTTATTAAATGTTTACTATATTCCCGGCACTATGTTAAGGCTGGAAAAACAAATACAAGAAAATAAGACTTCTGCCGCTCTCAAGGAACTTAGAGGACAAAACATAAGGGGAAATGGGAAAGTGGCGAGGGTGGGGGTGAAGGGAGAAAGAGAGTACCCATCCAGGGTCAACACTGCTGTTGAGGACATGTAGATGTCTGGCGATGGGCTGAGCTGAGAATGAAAGTAGTGTAGCTGGGGCCTCCGATGAAAATGGCATTTTTGTCCCAGGACTCAGTCATCAGGAAAGAACTCCCACACATCTCCCGTGGAGACATTTCCCTGTGGTCAAGGTTGCTTCAGAGGAGGTAGAGCAGCCCAGAGAGGAAGTTGAATTTTGCATGGTAATAAAACATTGTAATAAAAATTGGTGATTAAACAAAACAATAGAAATTTAAAATGACAAAATTCATCATTATGAGACTCTAAAGAAACAATCAATCATCTTGCAAATGAGACTTTATTGGGATGCGCTTTTTAGATGGTAATCTGTCGATCCACCATACTCAAATACTAATGGATCTTTGATCTTTTTCGGTTTAGATCTTCCTTCCAGTGATGCAGATTGAAAACCTATGTTTGTCCATCTTGTGTGACTTGTGAACACGTTTCCTGATAAGTTCATCACAGGTGCACAGTCCATTGCACTGGAGTACTTTGTTTTGTCTTGACACAGGGAGGATGCTAATTGTTCTCTTGTCATCCTCAGGACCAACCTAAAATACTTTTTTAAATCATACAGTTCCTTGATGAACATCTTTTACTCTTTGTCTTCACAGTCCCCCATTGGTTATATGTTGCAACCTGCTCAGACCTACCGTACACCTTTCCATTCTTCTTTATTCGAAGGCAGTTGTATTCTATATTACACTGGCATATAGAATATTAATACTTAAAAAGTCTGGCCTGTGCTTTCATAAGAAGCTTGGGTTCTGTAAAGGAACCCTGTAGTTTTCCAAAGGCGATATAGCCTGCTTTCTTCTTGTCTGACACTGGACCAAATTTGTTGCCCATTTGTACTGTCTGTCTCAGATTTACACACTGATGGAAAAGCTCCATTGGATGTCCATAAAAATGTACATTGAAATCCGGGCAACAGACATTCTTCATCCACTTGGTCTTTACAGTGAGGATGAACAGGCTAAATTCCTGTGATTAGAGATCTCTTTTAGGAAGTTCCAAAATGTTCAAGGGTTTCAAGCAATCAACACTCTGCCATCCACAAACAGCATCTGGAGGACCTCTTTATTGGCAAGGAACACTTCTTTGACCTGGATTCTGCCCTAGATCTCTTTCATCAGAGTGGGGAATATTTTTGGTGAGCACATATTTCCCCATTTTATGCCTCACCTGATTTTTATTATGTGACTTACTTGCCAAATAGAGAGAGAGAGAGAGAGAGAGAGAGAGAGAGAGAGAGAGAGAGAGAGAGAGAGAGATGACTGCCAAAGGCAACACTGGGTTACAGTATAAACTCATTTGTAAAATATTTCAAAGACGGATGACAGACAATTTTGAAAGGATCATGTCATAAAGCAGAGAGTAGCAGCATGGTGGTAAAACAAGTTTAAAGAAACCATGGTAAGAGATTCAACTAAGCAAAGCCATTCCCAGGGCATTCAAGGATAAAAATAGAAGGACTACAAAAATAGGAAAAATGCAAAAAAAATTTTAAGTCCTTATAACAAGCTGTGAGAGGTATGGATATCACAACTGGCTACATAAGACCAAATACAAATGGAATATTGTGTTTAATAAAAACAAAACAAAATAATCTTGCTCTCTACTGTTATTGTTTGTCTTTCATTTTGGAAGAGGACCATGACATCAGGGAAGTGATACCATAACATGCAAGTGAATTGGATTTAAGTGAGGCAGGACTGTGCAAAGTCACCAGGTCCAGTGGCAAGATACAGATCAGGACAACTGGAGATGGCCTAAGATACAGTGGGGGACCTTGGCCTTTTCAAGCTAAGTTCTTTAACAGGTCTCAGTTTGACTGAGGCAGTGTCCATTCAGTAACATACACACACATACACACATGTTGTACACATTTCAAATGATCTGTGGTGACTCAATTTAATGGCTCTGAGCTTTGCTTGAAATTACATACCTTCTGGGATGCACTGTCCAAGAACAAACTTATAACCCTTGCAGCACTTTTTCCTAGAAAACAAACAAGAAGAATGCTATTTAACAAGGAGGCAACTGTAGTTACAATGACATTGTTTTTTATCAGGTTTTATTTATTTATATCAGGTTTTCAAAAGGAGATATCTTCCAGGAAGTCTCTGGGGTCTAAGTACTGTGCTAATGGGTCAAATAGTAAAAGGCACAACATTAACATTCACGTAATACCAGACTTTGGGAAATTCAATTATACTCATTGAGGCCTCAGTTTCCTCATCTTTAAAATGTACAAGTTAGACTTGATGAACTCTAAGGTCCTTTTCAACTCTAAATCTACGATCCTCATAATGCTAGAATTTCCCTTTCTCCCTATTCATACTGTGAAAATAATCCTAAACCTACAAACTGAGTACATTAGCAGGAATTCTCACCTATCTTTTCACTAGAGAGACATCCATTGAACCTTAGAATCTTGGAACTTTAGGATTATAAAGGACCCTAGGAAGCATCTCCAGCCCATCCACAAATGTGGTAGCTGAAGCTCAGGGAAAGAAAGTTATTCACCCAAAGTTACATGTTTACTTAACAGCATAAATGAGACTACAAGAGCACCGGCCCTGGAGTTAGGAGGACGTGAGTTGAAATCTAGCCTCATATATAGTAGCTGTGTGCCTCTGGGCAAATCACTTCACCCTGATTGGCTTCAAAAATTGTTTTGAAATATTAAAAAAGTAAGTGAAGCTAGAACCAAAGTCTTCTATTTCTTTGCTTAGTGTTCTTTGAACTATATTGCTATGCCCCCTCCCAACATAAATTATGAAGTGGCACCTGAACGACCTAAGTTTATAAATATATTTTGAGGTAGTCTTCTAGTTAATGATTCTGGAACTTTAAATAAAATGGTGATTCCTGCCGTGTATTCATCTCTGACTGAAGACATTCCTTTTCCTTCTGATTTGTTCTTATTCTCTTTCACACCCTTCTCAGACCCTTGCCTCCCAAACCCTATTACTACCTATACTACCTTTTTTCCTCTCTTAGCTTCCCATTAATTTATTCCCCTTCCCTCTTTCTCATTGGCATAGCATTTTTTCTAGTCCCACATCATCTGCTTTAGACCTCTGAAAATTAATTCCATTCCCTTTCACACAGTGCCTTGTATATTGATGCAAGGACTCCTCCTCTGGATGAGAACCCCTCAACCACTTTATCCACCTATGATACTCTTTGCTTTCAAGGGCCAGAGATTCCCCAACACAGCAGCCTCCCTTCTCCAGGGACTCAATGGCTTCTCTGGGAGAGCAGTCAACAGGTATAATCCAAAATGAACTCCTTTTAATTCCCTTTAACTACATGGGCCAGGGATGAGGCCAGATAGTCAAGCTGAGGGTGTCAGGCAGTAGATCTGTTTAAAAACTGTTTTGATATGGTTAAATATGAAATCACAGAATCTCAGGGTTGGAAGAGACTTCAGAAGTCTCTTTGGAAGTAAATGACCAAGACTTCCCTCTACAACAAGTCTGATAAATGGTCATCCAGCCTATACTTGAAGATTTCTAATGAGGGAGAGCTCATCACCTCACATTCCATTCCATTTTTGGACAGCTCTACTTGGTTTGAATTTTTTCCTTCTATCAAAGCAAAATCTTCCTCTTTGCCACTTCCAGCCATTTTCCTAGTAGGGCCTTCTGAGACAAAGTAGATCAATTATAATCCCCTTTCCATGGAACAATCCTTCAAGTATTAGAAGGCAGCTTCCATGATTCCCACGAGTTTTCTCTTTTCCAAGGCTGATGTCCCCAGAGTTAATTGAACTAGTCCTCATATGACATGGAATCAAGGCACTTCACCATACTGGGGTCCATACTGAATGCTTTCTTAAACTGTAGTGCAGGAACAGAATGTAATATTCCAAATGTGCTCTGACCAGACCAGAATACAGAGAGACTATCACATTCCTAGCCATAGACACTAGGTAATAAAATAATAACAATAGCAATAATGATGATTATAGTTACAATTAATATATATGTTACTTGTAATAATAATATTCATATATATTGCTTTAAGGTTTGCAAAATACTTTAATCTATTATCTCACTTGATCCTCACAAATAACCCTGTGAGATAAGTGCTATTTATTATCCTCATTTTACAGGCGAGAAAACTGAACCTAAAAGAAGTTCAGTGACTTCTCCAGGGTTACAAAGCTAGGAAGTGCCTGAGGCAGGATTTAAACTCACTTTTACCTGAATCAAAGCCCAGCGCTCTATCCACTGTGCCTATGTCTCCCTCGATGCAGCCTCACATTAAATTAGCTGTTCCTTTGTTGCCATATCAGGCTGTTGCCTCATATTGAGCTTGTTAGTCTGGTAAAAACCACCAAATACTTTTTTCAGATGAATTGCTGTTCAACAACTTCTACCCCATATTTTATCTGTAAGTTTGATTCTTTAAAACTCAGATGTAAAAATTTTATATTACAGTTACCCCTTCCATATCTCGGTGTTTAGTGGTGCAGAGGTCCTACAATCTGGAAAATTTGCATAAAATTTTTTTAGCCTTTCCTTCTTATGAGAGAAGTCTTAATTTTTCCTTTTTCTTTTATGAGGTGTTTACCATTCCTTATTGTAAAATTTGGGTTGATATTATACAATACTATACATATATTTTATGCATTTCTGAATTTCTAAACTTTTTCTGTGTTGTCTGATAGCCTTCACATGCTATCTGTGGCTTCCACAAAACTCCCCCCAAATTCCCATTTAATATTTTACGTCGATCTACAAAATATCAAAACCACGATAGGGAAAGTCACAATGTGGAAAGGATAACTGTATTAATTCAAGCCCAATGCTTTAGCTTTTCAACATTTTTAAAAATCCTGACTGTTGTCCAACTTGTTGGTATTCTCTTATAGCTTTGTTTCTTTTGTAAATTTGTTTTCTGATATTTAAAGAAAAATGGTAACTCAATGTTATTATTTTCTGCTATTTCAAAAAAATTATAACCATATAGTATTTCAATTGCATTATAGAAAAAAAATCTATTTCAGTGGGCTAGTCCAAGAGCCTAATCAGCATTTACAACATTGTTTCTGTGAGAAAATGCATTCTGAGTCTGTTAGGCCTGAAAGAAAGCTGCTTATAAGTTAGGTGTTAGAAGACAGAAAACCAGGTTATACATAAAAGCAAAATGGGGAAAAATACAGAAATGGAACCCAAAGGGATACTAGGACCCTGCAGTAGTTTTCCCACATCCTACCCTATGGAGTGTCCCCATTCAGGCTGAGGGACTGGACACCTCACTATAAAAGAGGTGACACCTGGGTTCCATAATGAAACAGCTGGCACTTGGGTTGTCAATACATTTAGAATGAAGTAAGAATGAGGTCCGTGCACAAGCTCTTAAAGGGTTCAGATTGACAATTGCTTTTCTCCCCAGGAAGATCATTCTGGATCTTTATTCAGCATATTTTATTAGGCCTTAGGGGGAAAACTATGTCATTCCTTTCCAAATGCTTTGTAAGACATTTTCTTGAGGACGTGGCAGTATCCAACTTTCTGATGAGTAGTTTACATTTCCCATTAAAATTACTTACTGACATCAAAAGCCAAATTTTAATTTTTCTATGACAAAAGATCCCCTCCTTGTGGTTTAAAATAATTTTTTACACTGGTAAAAGATCCCAGAGTTTCCATCCCAGGGGCTTACATTGATGAAATCATGGGTCTGCCCTTTCATCTCCCCAAAGCTCCACCCTACTCCCCATATGCTTTTTAATGTTACCAAAATGAAGATCTCTGATTGGTTCCCAATAGTCCAAACTTACCACAACAGGAAAGAATATTAGCTTAATAAATTGTTCATTTTAATTTTTATGGTCTTGCTTACTGAAGTACTCAGGTTATCATACAAGAAGGGCTGTGGGGAAAAGAACAGGATTTCTAAATGATCTGAAACTGATTTTTTTTTGGCTTTATAAGAAAGAAAGACAGGGTGTGTGGGGGAGAACAGATGTTTCTGATACTCAAGTGAAAATCACATTTAAACATATGGTTCTATTTGTCTATTTTGAATAGCATAACTAAGGTACAGGCCTCCAAGATGTTTGATAGCGTTCTGAAGTCCATAGAAGTGGATACAATCTTTCCAGGCTCCTTCACCATGAAGGAGACAACTAAAATCAGGAACCTCATGACGTTTTTGAAGGTCTGAAGGCTTGGGACTGTCAACACCGTGGAGCCAGTAATAACCTGCCATGGGTCTTCCTTATGAAATTAAATTAGGATGAAGTGATTTGATCTGTTTTCAAAAAGCTATGGAATTCTGTCAGGAGAAGCTCTGGACTCAAGGACTGACCACATGGGCTTTAAGTTAAATGCCCATACAGCAAAGAATTAAGCTTCCTTTTGTTGTTTCTTCTTAAATGCGTAACTGGCTCCGGTGCAATGATCAAAAGGTCCAAATCAGTGATTCAAGCCCATCCCCTGCACCACCGACCCTTGCTCATCATAATAGATCATTATTTTGCATGTGAAACATCCATCCATTGCAATGGACTATTTAAAATAAACAAAGTATTATTCAACTATGGAAAAATAAACATTGGCTTCCCATTTTATACAGTTTCAAAGATTAGCTGCAACATAAATTATCTTCAATGAAGTTTAGAGACCTCCCAAGCAAACGCCTTGCCTTGCTATGCAAACACTAGGCCACGTTAGACCTCACCACAAACGCTGCTGTGGGATGTTGTCTTTGAAAAACAAAAAAACAAATCTAGTAGGAAAAAGTTCATAGGTGTATCCTGGGGTAGGGAACCTGTGGCCTTTAGACCACATGTGGTCTTCTAGGTCTTTGGGTGCAGCTTTTTGACCAAGTTCAAGTTTTCATGAATTAATAAGGGGATTTGTTCTGTGAAGTTTGGATTCAGTCAAAGGGCTGCACTTGAGGACCTAGAGGGCCACATGTGGCCTTGACGCCACAGGCTGCCCGCCTCTGATTCCAGGCAGAGGCCATTTCTAAATTTCAGC